ATAACAAATGATTTAACAGGTCTTTATAAAATAATATTATAAGGGCCTTATAAAGTAATATCAACAGGGCCTTATAAGGCAATATTAATAGGGCCTTATAAGGAAATATTTTTCTTATTAAGTAAAAATATTCGTCCTTTTCACTCTAAGAAATTTAGATTATAATTTCTTTATTTCTTCATCTTCAATCTTGTTAGTATACAAGAATTTTTTATTTTAAAATTATAGCATACTTTACAATAAAATATAGTATTGTTTACACATAAAAATAATTCTGCTACTGTTTTTATTAAAGTTTACTGCATTTAAAAACTAAGGCAATACTAGAAAGATCCTTAGAAGAGGCTAATGAATATGGCAACTAATAAAACTAATAAAATTTGTTTTTAATTGCGATATAATTAAAAAATCTTTAAAAGAACCAGACCGAGCATACTTGCTAAAACAATACTAAACTATGACAATTTTATTACACGCTTCAGATTTTATTAATTTTCTATAACAAAACTTGATTTTATACATCTAAAGCATCCTTAAAAGATCTTTTTAAGGCCCACATCAGTTTTCCATGTTAAAGCGTTATTTCATAAAATCTAAGGCATCCCTAAAAAATTCTTCTAAGATCTTTATCAGTTTTCCCTCTGTCAACGTCTTATTTATTAGATCTAAGGCATCTCTAAAAAATCCTACTCAGGCATGCAAAAATCCTACTCAGGCAGACAAAAATCCTACAAGGCCCTTCTCAGCTTTTCCAATCGAAGCCTTATTTATTAAGTCTAAGATATCCCTAAAATATCCATCTCGGAGCCTGATGTGGTAATAATGAAGTATTCTTTTTTAGATCATCCTACTTTCAGCCTTATTGGAGCCTTATGCTTCATGAGGATGATCCTAACAATTTTTGCTCGAGATATTTTTTCCGCTACATTGACATACGACATATGTTCTGTGAGGATCTCTCTTCTGACCTTGCGAATAGGAAACGATTTTGATCAGAATATTTATGATATGCAGGACCTTCATGGAAAAATAAGGTGATAATAGTTTATCCACGTCATCTTGACTGTTACCATGTCATCGACGACCGTCAAAATGTCACAATTATCGAGAGAATCCTCGCGAGAAACTTTCTACGATGTTTTCGAATTTTTGATGAACAATGCGATTTTGATGAACCTGTTATACAATAAAATAATTGGGCAGAAACAAGGTTATCAAACATATCGCTCGATAAAATAACTAGGCAGAATCGAGGTTCAATCAAAATTAAAAGTTTTTGTGTTTCTTTCTCGATTGTTTTTTCCTCTAATTATTTTATATATCTAAATAAATACTATATATATATATTATTTTTTGAAATTTCCGTCCATATCTTTTTCGTTTATTTTACTCCTTCGATCATCCATGCTCTTTTCTATCAGTTCGCACGTTGAATAATTTCAGTTTCGGCGTATAAACGAACTTTATATTCCGGACATTGTGAGTTCGCTATTTATCTTGTTTGGACTATGCGAGACTCTTCTTTACGGAAAATACCGGTTAGATGGACGAAGTTTCACGATTTTGTATAATCGAGGAACCAATATTATCTCAAAGACCTGTTTCTGTACATATATCACTTACTAGCTTTGTTGAAGGTTACTTGAAAAATAATGTTGTGCATTTACAGGAAGTAAGACATGATGCAAAAGTTGTAGCGAATAAACATTCATGTTCACACGTGTGTGCGCGAAGTGATTATATTTAAATGCAATGATAAAGGAAATACATCATGCGCACTTGACAATAAATCAGAGTTGGGAAAGTTATTTTTTAAAAGCAACTTGTTACCGTTACCGTTACTTTCGGTAAAAAGTAACTCGTTACCGTTACTCGTTACTGGTCTATAAAAAATAACGTGTTACCGTTACTTGAAAATAACGATATTTTGCTTCGTCACTTTCCGTTACTTTCCTTGTTGTAAATCTAAGATTATAAGAAAGGTGCTAAGACAAAATATAAATCAGACATAAGATGATTAGAAATATATATATATATATATATATTTAAATATTTTTATTATTTTATTAAAAGTTTCTTAGTGGATATAAGTTTAATATTTGGACATTAGTGCCTGTTGACTTTAAAAATCTTTACCATTCATCATAGGTAGATTCCTCATTTGATGTTTTTGCTGTTTGAAATGTAAAAAGTCATCGTTATCATCGTGCTTATCAGAATCAAAGAATTTTCAGCTGAAGAAATTCCTAATAAATCTTCTAAATATGTTTGCACAAGTTTTCGCTTATCTCCGGCTAACCAACTCAATTTGAATTTGGGGTGCAAACAGCTGGCAATTCTTCTTTTTCGAATGTAATACAAAACCTAAAGTTAAATCAATAAAACTAAATATGAACATATTGATTTTGCTTCTTAATCAGATGAATGTTGTTTGATAAACATATATGTTAATCAAATTATATCAACTTACCTTTCTTTTAAACATTTCTGTATAGTTACGGCCAATGGATGACAATATGTGAGTCCATCTTTATTGATTCTTATTAAATCCAGCATAAAACAAAAAATGCATAGAAATTAAATACAATTAAGTTTAATTTTATAAAAATTAAAAAGTAATGATTAAAGTAACGATTAAAGTAACTGACGTTTCGTTACTCGTTACAAAAAAAATTTATCACCGTTACTTTTTCGTTACTGACACAAAAAAGTAATGGCATTGCTTAATCGTTACTCAAAAAAGTAACGATACCAGTAACAGCGTTACAAGTAACGCGTTACTTTCCAACTCTATAATAGATGTATGCTATATGTATGTAGAACATACTGTTATATTGTAAATAGTATGTTAACATTTTAAGAGAGAGAGAGAGAGAGAGAGGGGGAAGAGAGAGAGATAGAGAGAGAGACAGAAGATGCTATTGAAGTTTCGCATCATTGATGTTTCGAAGCGGAAAAGAAAGTCCAAAAGAAACATGATGATATAAATGGTACAAATATAATAAAATCGAATTTAACTGTCGAGCTAATGTAACTTTTGGCAATGTTGTTTTTAAGAATTTGGATTATCCAAATTAGTGCCTTTTGCAGCAACTTTATATCCGCATTACAACATATTATTTAATATTAACATTTGGAGCGATAAGGCGTGAGGTTTTACACTACCTCTATCTTTAATAGGACCAAGGTTTTTTTAATTAATTGAATCTCGGTAATTACCTGCACGTTTTTGCCATTATATTCGTATGCGACACATTCCATGTCGATCCTTGGCTTGACCTTCTGGGCAGTCAACATTTCTACTTGCAAAGACTATAATACTTTTCTTCGGTGTTAAGACGCTCGGTTTGGGTGGAATTGTGGAATTTATATGCAATTGTTCATCCGTGTTTTCCTGACACACTCGAAGTGGAATTACAGTGGTCACCAATATCACAATTATCAGTAAAATGTTTATGAGAAGTTTCATCTTGAAGAAGCCCGACAACTCCAGTATATTGTCATATATTGTCTTGCACAGTCTCTTTTTTAATTAACCTTTTTTATTACAGTTTTAATTATCCTGATTCTTCTTAATGTTGTTTTATATTTAGCCTTATTGTCTCTTTTCGCAGTGTTTCTTGCTTCTTGGTTTCTCTAGTATCTGAGTTTGTGTAAGCAATCTCTCGTCACGATAGGCAAATTTGACTCGTTTTCCTTCAGCACGTAAACGAACTTTGAATCGTCTTCATGGTTCTGTCATTTAATTTATACCATCTTGATTGCGTCAACCTGCCGCTATATATAGAAACTGGTTATTAATTAGGAATTTCACGGCCATTTCTTGCGTGCTTATAGAATCTAGAAAAAATGCGGAAAGAAAATATTATAAATATATTTGTCTTTATGGAATTACAATGTTATTCTTAAATATAAGCGTTGAAGCAATGTATAAAGATATGATAAGTTTTTATTCGCATTTCTTACTTGAATTTATCGATAGATACGTACGCTGTAGGTAAATTATCTTATCCACCGGAATTCTAAAATTAAAGTTAGAAATGTTGTAACAATATAATTACCTACATGTCTTTGCCATTACACTCGTGTACGACATAATCCATAAGCATCCTTTCTTTGGTCCTCCGGGCAGGGAATGTCTTTACTCGAGAAAACTGTGATACTTTGCAATAACAATTTTAAGAAAGTTCCAGATTTGTTTTTCCGAAATGTTTCAAGCAGAATAACAATGGCCGTCAATATTATAATTAACAGAAGAATTTTCATGAGAAGTTTCATCTTGCTATATGAAACGTTGCTATGTGAAACGTTGAATCTTTTGAACAATAAGATAATTGATAAATAAAAATTTATATGCCGCCTGTTCCTATTTCTCAATAAATTTTATTCTTTTTCCAATTATCTCGAACGTTTCTAATATTTTTTTATATTTAACTACACACACACACACACACATATGTATATATCCAAAATTTTAATAGGATTTCCTAGTATCTAGTCTTTTATCGCAATACACAAATCCAACTCGTTTGCCTCCAGCACATAAAATCATTCTACATCGCCATATCATGATCCTGTCATTTATACCTTTCGGAATATATGCCGTTTCGTAGTGTGAAAACTGGTTATTAACGAAATTTCATGGTCACTTCTTGCTTAGAGAAATCATGATTGTTAAAAATCTCCGCTCCCGAGAAATTATTATCTTTAAACATAAGTTATGAAATAACGATGCGGATAAAGACAGGTTTGTATTTATAACGAGAATTATCATTAGATATACATTATGGTCATTTTTATTTTAGGAATTGAGGATTTATTATTGTTATCAAAATATTTACTGTTTTTCAAAATTACTATATTCAAATATAAACGATGTAAAGGGCACGACAAAATATGAATAAATATCCGACAGCCTCTATTTTACGCACTTATTATTATATATAAATATTTCAGATTACGATATTTATTGCAAATAAAATTGAAATTTCATATATTAAAAATCGACAATTATCTGCGCATTCTTTTCATTAGAAAGGAAAACGACATATCTGAACTCTGAGTCACCCAGTGTAAGACTGAGTATTCATTCTTTGGCCTTTTAAACAAAGAAAATCTTCTGGAACTTCATAGAAGGGACGCTGATTTTGCTTCGGATTTGTATATCCTCCCCCTAAAAAAATAGCCATATAAAAGGACATATTCAATCATAGGTGTGTTTTTAACTATAATCACATTTTTTACATCATCGCATTACTATGATACTACGCAATATTACTATATATAGTTGACTACTATATATTACTATATATTCGACGAATCATAACGTTAGAGAAGATACGACGATGTTACAGTGTCAGCGGATCGCAAAGTATTATCTGGAAGGAATAACAAAACAATACACAACAACGGACATTAATTATAAAAATTTATATTTTTTTATATTTGTACAATGTAGCATACATGGTATTCTATAGTTGTGTAGTTATTATTTTTATGTGTTCCATTATTTTTACTGGATTCAGCATTACCAATGAAAATCACTTTATATCTGAAAGCAAGCAAAAAATGTCAGGAAGTAGAGAAAATATATAAATTACGAATTCTGATTAAGTTCTTACCTATAATTTTGTCTAATGCAGTTAAGTTGATAATTACCTACATGTGTCTTCAACATTACATCCTCTGGCGACATATCCCGTGTGGATCTAGTTGTTCTCCTTCTGGGCAAGTTACGGCAATACGAGGTTTAAATTCTATGATATTAGCGATAAAAGGTGCTATTTCGAGAGAGGTTTCTGAATAATTCACGGTAGAAAGTGGAATTTCTGTTAATGACTCTTCTTCAACTGCTTCTGTAAGTTGTTCAATATGTTCCTTGGATGTCCCCAGTGATATCATATTAATTAATATCAGTATCATTATTAAGAAATCATAAAGGAATACTTTCATTGTACTATATAAAAATCTATTTGTTTTTCACGATCCAAGAGTCGAAAAATTGAAGTTGAAAAGTCAAATTCTTTGTAACAACTTTTTTATTATTACAATTGTTTTTTTTGATAAATTTTATTTTCAATCGACCTTTTAAATTTTCCTCTATGTATTGTTTTCGCAACTTGATCTTCCTCTTCTTATATTGATTACTTTGTATTACAATTGAGGATTTAACATGAGCTTGAATCTCTGTGACACGTCTTACAGTCTCGACAAATAAACACGTATTGTACGTTTTATCTCGCGCATATACTACTTATAATACGTCTTAATGATCTTTAAAACAGCTTCAGGATAATCAATGAGAAAACCGGTTTCATAAAACAGGATATCCTATTTACATGCAAGCAAAAAGCTACTACGGCTAAAATGTGACAATTGTACTAATATGCTTATGTTCCGTGAAAAATTGCATTATTTCTTTAACATTAGCAAATAACTATATAGATCTTTGAAAAATTTTCGCCCTTTATCATTTAGAAGAACTTAAAAAATAAATTTATTCTTGATGTGTCGGTCAGAAAATAACAGTCAACAATTTTAATAAAATATAGCTTTATGTTACTAGTAAATAATAATTTATTATTGTAATATAATAATATAATAATTATATAAAACAATATAATAACTATAAAAACTGTTTTTATTGAAATTTCTCAACACTTTGAAGGCTGGACTTATATATACGTGCGTTCACAGAGCCTGCGTCCACTGGCCGACTTCACGTATATGTGAGTTGAGTTAGTGGTTATTAGCTAGCATTGATTGTTGTCAAAGTTTCAAGTTCATATATATATATATATATATGATATACAGATATATATATGTATATACAGGGTGTCCCATTTTAAGAAACGTACCTAGATAATTCTTCAACGAAGCATTTTCAGTAAAAATGTTTCGGACAAAAGTATGATTTCAAGGGAGACATAAAACAACTATACTATTTTGTTTACAAATACCACCACTTTCGAGATATTTACTGATCATTATTTTTTTTAAATGGAAACCCCAATTTTTTATTACACCATCATTTTCTACCAATTAATTTAAATAACTTTTGTCTGAAATATTTTTTTATTTGCCTAGTATTTTTTGAGATATTTAAGAAAAACTTGTTAACTTTTTCGATATTTAACTCACGATATCTCACTAACTATTTGTCAGAAGAGAAAGTGGTACTAGACTTTTCTGCTCTATTTAATCTCAAGAATATATTACAATAGCGTTCTGACTTTTGTTAACTTACTGACTTGGAAATTTCAAAATCATCAAATTTTTTATTACACCGTCCTTTTCTATCCATTAATTTAAACAACTTTTGTCTAAAATTTTTTTTATTTACCTAATATTTTTTGAGATATTTAAGGAAAACTTGTGTTACTGGAAGGGTTCCTTTTGACTTTCCGTGTGATATTATGTTGAACATTATCAGCATAGTTATTAAGAAAACATGGAGGAACACTTGCATTGTGATGTTTAATAATTTCGATATACTTCATGATCTTAAAGCTGAGAAACTAAAATTAGAAAGTCAAATTTTCTTTGGCAACTTTTTTGTTACAATGATGACTTATTCTTATTGAATTTCATAAGGTCCTTCAAACATAGTTTTTGCACGTTAATCTGTATTTCACTTACAAAAATGTAATATAAGTTTGTCTTCTCGACACGTTTTACCGTCTCGACAAATTAACACGTATTGTAAAATTTTTTCACACGTACGCTGTTTATTATGGGTTCTTATAGTCTTTCGTATTACGTAAGCCTATCTATGAACAAAATCAGTTTTACAAAGTAATCTGTTGCCAGTTATGTAACAAATAATCACTAATCTACGCTATGCCAAACAATGGCGCATGTAAAAGAAGCGATTAATAATTACTACTAATCGTAGTTTATGTTGGATCAAGGACCACGTAGTCATGTTGTTCAAAATTGCATTATGTATTTGATGTTAAGAAACACTTACATTATTTCCCGAAATGTTTTGTCCGATATATATTTCTTAGAAGAGATCGGAAATTGAATCTGTACCTTCTGCGAGCATCTAATGAATTGCGTTGAAAGACTGACGTTTTAATTTCGATAATTTTTACTAAAATTTCACAGGTAAAAAATGTGGTTCAAATGTTTCTGAGTTTTAACAAGAAACAGTGTCATATTACAGTAGTAGTGATTTATTGACTTTTAAGCTCAGTCCAGAATAGGTTGCAAAGATCAGTTGCGAATTGCAAAGGATGGCAACTATTAGTTACAAAGTGCTATTTTCGGTTGTAAGAGACAGTTACGATTGTCGGTTGCCGTTGCCAAGAAGTAAAAAGTTGGGTAACTCTCTTTTAGCAACCGCAACTGTCTCTTCCGACCGAAAATAATACTTTGTAATTAGTTGCCATTCTTCGCAACTCGCAACTGGGTGTTTGCAACCTATTCTGGACCGGGCTTTGATGTAACAGTTATATGAACCAATTTTATCAAGGTTTCTTAATCAAATAATTTTTCATAGAGTTCTCCAACATATTATTTTATATTACACACATAAGTGTCATATCATTTTTCGTTAACACAAGCATCAGTAAATTATTATAGATTATAGATTATTTCAGGAAATATATAGAACGTTGGAATAATTAACTTTGTTAATGATAATTGATGTTTATTTTCATTTGCAAGTTGCCATATGTTATTTTATGTTCCCTGAATTACTTTCTCAAATCTGTTGCATTGACAATTTTTGTCTTCTGTGTCAACGTCTCAAATATTTAGTCCCGAAGTGGAAATAATACGAATATGTAAAATAGAGATGCTGATAGATGAGAAAATTTCATATGTTGTTAACTCCATTTGTTGTAATTAATGATAGTATATCTTTAATTGATAATTACCTACTAGTTTTCAATTTTATTGCGTATTATTTTTATTGCCCCAATAGTTCGACATCTTCCGTGTGGATCTTTTAGTTTCTCTGGTGAGCAGTGAGCACGTCACTTCTTTCGATCTCGGTAGATGTATAATGTTAAGTAAATAATAACGTCCTGTTGTAGATATTCGACGGTAAACGGAAGCTATGTTGTTGGTTCTTGACGGACTCCTTCTGATTTTCCAAGTGGTATTAGGCTCGACATTATTAGCATAAATATTAAGAAAGCATGGAGCAACACTTTCATTGGCTGTTTAATAATCTCGATATTCTTCACGACATTAAAGCCAAACTAAAATTAGAAAGTCAAATTCTTTTTGAACTTTTTTGTTATAATAATAACTTATTCTTATTGAATTTCGTAAGTTCGTTTAAGTATAGTTTTCGTACGTTAATCTGTATTTCACTTACGAAAATTTAATATGAGTTTGAGTCTTCCCGACACGTCTTATCGTTCCGACAAATTAACACGTATTGTAAGATTTTTCTACGCGTATGCTGTTTATAATGCATTCTTATAATCTTTCGTGTTACGTAAGCCTATCTATGAGCAAAACCAGTTTTACACTGTCACAGTTTTATCCTGTTTCGAGGTATGTAACAAATAATCACTAATCTACACCATGCCAAATAATTGCGCATATAAAAGAAGCAATTAATAATAATTACTAATCGTGGTTTATGTGCTTTCCAAAATTGCATTAATTATTCAATGTTAGAATATACTTACATTGTTCCCCGAAATATTTAGTCCTATATACGCTTTTTAGAAGAGATTGGAAATTAAATCTATGCCTTCTACGCGCATCTAACGAACCGCGTTGAAAGATTTTAATTTCGGTAATTTTTACTAAAATTTCACAGATGAAAGATCTGATTCAAATGTTTCTGAGTTTTAATAAGAAACAGTGTTATGTTACAGCAGTAGTAGTTATTTATCGACACTTAATGTAACAGTTATATGAACCAATTTTATTAAGATTTCTTAGTCAAATGATTTCTTATACAGTTCTTCAACATATTATTTTATATTACACATATAATTGTCAAACCGTTTTTTGTTAACACAAGCATCAGTAAATATTATAGATTATAGATTATTTCATCAAAATATATAGAACGTCGGAACAATTGATTTTCTTAATGATAATTAATTGATGTTTATTTTCATTTGTAAGTTACCATATATTATTTTATGTCCCCTGAATTACTTTTTCGACTCTGCTGTATTATTTGACAATTTCTGTATTATGTAACGTTTCAAATATTTAGGGCTGAGGTGGGAAGAATAGATAGAATAGATAGGATGAATATATATAGAATAAATAGGATGAATACATAAAATGGAGGTCTTGATGGATGAAAAGTTTTCATATGTTGTTAATTCCATTTGTTATAATTAGTGATAGCATATCTTTAATTGATAATTACCTACTTGTTTTCAATTTCATTGCTTATTCCGCAATATCTCGACATATTCCGTGTGGATCTTTTAGTTTCCCTGGTGGGCAAACCACTGTCAATCTCGGGAGGTATATAATATTAGGTAACTCTTCTTGTATGGCTGTATGGCTTGTATGGCAACTTTCTGTTGCATGTAATTCGCTGATAGCCGGAAGCTGTGTTGTTACTTCTCGATGGACTCTTTCTGACTTTCCAAGTGATATTAGGCTGAGCATTATCAGCATAGTTATTAGGAAAACAGAAAAAATCTTTCATTGTGCTATTTAATAATCTCAATTTTTCACCACCTTAAAGCCAAAAAACTAAAATTAGAAAGTCAAATTCTTTTTAGTAACTGTTTTATGATAATAATAACTTATTCTTGTTGCATTTTGTAAGGTTCTTCAAACATAGTTTTTGCACGGTAATCTGTATTTTACTTACGAAAATTTGATATGAGTTTGAGTCCTCCCAACACGTCTTACCGTCCCGACAAATTAACACATATTGAGAATTCTTTTCAAGCGCATGCTATTTATAATATGTACCTATAGTCTGTCGTATTACGTAAGCCTATCTAGCAAAACCAGTTTTATAAAAAGTCTTATCCAGTTCCCACATATGCAACAAATAATCACTAATCTATACTATTTAAACTAATTACTTGACAAATAGTTGTGCATATAAAATGTAATTAATACTATTCACGGTTTATGTACTGCTCACAATTGCATTATTTACTCGATGTTAGGAAATTCTTATTTTGTTCCCCGAGATATACACATTTTAGGGTAAATTAAGAATTAAACCTACCTTGCCTTCTACACGAATCTAACAAACCGCGTTGAACGGCTGACGTTCTAATTTCAGTAATTTCTATTAAAATTTCACAAGAAAAGTTGCGATTAAAATATTTAGAGCTTTAAAAAGAAATAGTATTATATTATAGTAGATAGTGGTATAGTAGATAGTGGTAACTCTTAGTGTAACGATTATCAAAAAGTGAATTTATTAAAACTTTTTGATCGGATGTGTGACTTTTTGATGTTTTATATAGTTTTCTAACATAATATATTATATTACGCACGTAATTGTCATATTATTTTTCGTTATAACCATCAGTAAATTATTATAGATTATACGTAGATTATTTTCGAAGATTATTTCAGAAGATATATAGAATAATTGACTATTAGTGATAATTAATGTTTAGTTCGTAGATTGCCATGTGTTATTTTATGTTGCTTGAATTACCTCCTCATATCTGCTATATTATTTAGTAATTCTAGAGGCGTATCTGAAATATTTAGGAATATTTAATATCCCTAAAGAGAATAGAAGAAATAGAAGAGATATAAAAAATAAAAATAATTAATTAAATGAACATATAGAATGGAAGTCCTAATAAGTGAAAAGATTTTATATATAATTCCTTTTTGTTGTAATTAAAGATAGCAAGTTTTTAATTGATGCTGTTTAATAATTTGGATATTCTTCACAACTTTAAAACCAAGAAACTGATGTTAAGAAAACAATTCTTTTTAATAACTTTTCTATTATATTGATAAACTATTCTTATAGAATTTCGCAAATTTCTTTAAACACAGTTTTTGTAGGATAATCTGTATTTTACTTATAAAAATTTAATACAAATTTCAATCTTTTCGACACGTCTTAGTGTCCCAATGAGCTAACACATACTATAAGTTCTGCCAACGTACATTCTATTTATAATATTATTGTAGCCCTTGATATTACATAATCCTATTCATGAGCAAAACAAGTTTTATAAAATACGTTATTTTGCTTCCACGCATGTGACAAATTATCACATCCAAAGTATGAAAAATAGTTGCAAAATATGATAGTTACAAAATATAAAATAGTCGAACGATGCTAATATTAATTTATGTGCGCTGAAGGATTTTATTATTTAATGTAAGGAACTAATTACCTAATCCTTCAAGGTAGGCTTAGTGTAATATATGTTATATGAATTGATTTTATTAAGACTTCTTAATCAGATGATTTTTCATGCAGTTTTAACATATTATATTATATTCTATTACATACATAATTCTTATACTATATTCGTTACCATCAGCATCAGTAAATTATTATAGATTATAGATTATTTCAGGAGATATATATAACGTCAGAACAATTAACCTTATTACTAGTGATTACTAGTATTACTAGTATTACTAATATTACTAGTAATAATTAATATTTATTCACATTTGTAAACTGTCATATGTTATTTTATGTCTTTTGCATTACCCTTTCACATCTGCTGTAGTATTTGATGTTTTTTGTGAAACGTTTTAATTTTATTCGGTCAAAGAGCATCGATAAAAAATGCCCGTTTTCGGTACCTCGATTTTTGAAACTTCTTTTATGCCAAATGGTTACTTATGATGACCTAAAAATCCCTGCAAAATTTCAAGATGAGCATATGCCCCGTTTAAGAAATATAGGGGGTCAAAGTTGACCATGTCCAATTAAAAAATATAGCAGCTTCACATTTATACTCCAATAATAATGTCCAAAAAATTCAGCCGAAATGGTTCTTTTAAGATTTTTGGCTGCTGATTACGAATCTGAAGTCAGATTTAAAAAATTCAAAATGGCGGATCCAATATGGCGGACGAATTTTTCTTAAATTCATCAGATTCACTTGAAACTCGTTACTCGGGGGTTTTTGGGGTCGTTGATTACGAATCTAGCGGTTAACTAACTTTTAACCAACACTAAATCTTCTTTGTCACTACATTAAATCTACTTTGACCCTACATAGAATCTATTTTGTCCTACAATGGACCTATTTTTCCTCACATTGGACCTACATTCTACCTAGGAACGGTGAGCGTCGAGCGTACTGAGTCTCGTTTTAAAGAGTTCGGCCTAGAGTTACGAAACCCTGAAAACAAAAGACGATCAGCAGATCATCATTTCATTAACATTCCATCCTACGTCTTATTTGCATCGTACGCTTGCGAATGTAATAAAATAAAAGTTTCAGTTTCGAAAATCTGGAAATATTGTTGTTTGAAAAATATTATTAATGATAAATGGTAAGAGTTTTTTTGTATTCTTTGTTTTTTCATGCTAATGACTTAAATCTATGATTTTTTGTTGTTTAAAAAGTTTTTATATGCCCTACTGCAAAAAGTTCGATTTTCTAGCAAAAATGCCTTTCGTTAAATGCGTCAGCTGTGATAAGCAAAAAAGAAGTAAAGATGACAAGTTTTTTCCTGTTAACAATATTCAAGACCCATTAACAGTTATTAATAATATGAGACAATTGGGCAACTCGAAAAAACTCAAAAAAAGAGTTTGCAACTTCTGCAGAGTTTAGCATCTGATGAAATATCACATATTTCACTTAGTTTACGTTTTTTTGAGTTGCGCAATTGTCTCATATTATTAATAACTGTTAATGGGTCTTGAATATTGTTAACAGGAAAAAACTTGTCATCTTTACTTCTTTTTTGCTTATCACAGCTGACGCATTTAACGAAAGGCATTTTTGCTAGAAAATCGAACTTTTTGCAGTAGGGCATATAAAAACTTTTTAAACAACAAAAAATCATAGATTTAAGTCATTAGCATGAAAAAACAAAGAATACAAAAAAACTCTTACCATTTATCATTAATAATATTTTTCAAACAACAATATTTCCAGATTTTCGAAACTGAAACTTTTATTTTATTACATTCGCAAGCGTACGATGCAAATAAGACGTAGGATGGAATGTTAATGAAATGATGATCTGCTGATCGTCTTTTGTTTTCAGGGTTTCGTAACTCTAGGCCGAACTCTTTAAAACGAGACTCAGTACGCTCGACGCTCACCGTTCCTAGGTAGAATGTAGGTCCAATGTGAGGAAAAATAGGTCCATTGTAGGACAAAATAGATTCTATGTAGGGTCAAAGTAGATTTAATGTAGTGACAAAGAAGATTTAGTGTTGGTTAAAAGTTAGTTAACCGCTAGATTCGTAATCAACGACCCCAAAAACCCCCGAGTAACGAGTTTCAAGTGAATCTGATGAATTTAAGAAAAATTCGTCCGCCATATTGGATCCGCCATTTTGAATTTTTTAAATCTGACTTCAGATTCGTAATCAGCAGCCAAAAATCTTAAAAGAACCATTTCGGCTGAATTTTTTGGACATTATTATTGGAGTATAAATGTGAAGCTGCTATATTTTTTAATTGGACATGGTCAACTTTGACCCCCTATATTTCTTAAACGGGGCATATGCTCATCTTGAAATTTTGCAGGGATTTTTAGGTCATCATAAGTAACCATTTGGCATAAAAGAAGTTTCAAAAATCGAGGTACCGAAAACGGGCATTTTTTGCATGGGGCTTGCCGAGGCTCTTTGTGGAACGTTCAAATTTTATTTAGGCCAATATTTAGGCCCTCATGAAGAAAAATATGAAAGCTAAAAAGGGTAAATAAAATAAATATATAGAATGGAGATCATGATAAATGAGAAGATATCATGCATAATTTCTTTAGTCATAATTAAAGCAAATTTTTTAGCAAATTTTTAATTGATAATTACCTTTTTCTTAATATTATTGCTTTGTGCGACATATTCCGCGTGGGTCTTTTAGTTGTCCGGATGGGCAAGTCTTTTCTTCAAATTCCGGCAACTCTATAACAGTAGGTGCTTGAGCTGGCTGAGGTGTTGTTGAAAGTACGGTTGTAGACGGAAGCTGTGTTGTTGGTCGGATTCTTTTTGGGTTTCCAAATGATATTAGGCTGAATATTATCAGCCCAATTATTAAGGAAACATGAAGGAACACTTTCATTATGACGTTCAATAATCCCGATATATTTTACGATCTTAAAGCCAAGAAACTAAAATTAGAAAGTCAAATTCTTTTTGGCAACTTTTTTGTCATAATGATAACTTATTCTTGTTGAATTTTTTAAGGTCCTTCAAATATAGTTTTCGCACGTTAGTCTGTATTTTTTACTTACGAAAATTTAATACGAGTTTGAGTCTTCCCGACACGTCTTATCGTCCCGACAAATTAACACGTATTGTAAGATTTTTCCACGCGTATGCTGTTTATAATGCGTTCTTATAGTCTTTCGTGTTACATAAGCCTATCTATAAGCAAAACCAGTTCTACAAAGTTACCTTATCCTGTTTCCATAATGTAACAAATATAAATCTACGGTATGCCAAATAATTGTGTATATAAAATATACAATTAATGCTGATTGTGATTTATATGTTCTCCAAAATTGCATTAATTATTCAACGTTAGGAAATACTTATATTGTCCTTCAAAATGTTTTGTCCGATATAGATTTTAATTGCTGATAACACATCTGTATTAATGCAATAAATGGTTAAAAATATATCAATACATTCAGTAGAGGATAATGTTAGATACTGAAGAGTTTTTGTGAAAAAAAATTCATGGGCGCCAATAATAACGAAATGCTTCTGTGAGGGATAGATGGTCAGGTGTCCAGATTAGATGGTCATATGTCAAGAGATAGTTGGGCATACGTCATCTCGGTAATGAATTTTTAGGTTAAATACGATGTTGTTTAGTCATTCAAGCCCAGGTTTAATGTTGTAACTCAAAATATTATTGCGTATTTGCAAAGTATTATTCCGATGTATGAAACATTTTGGAGGTTAATAGAAACGTATAACATTTATTTATTCATAATAATAGTGTTTTTGTGCATCAGAAAGAAACACACCTTTTTTTTTTTTGGTCACGCAGGGGAAATCCATCATGGATACCCCCTCCCCTTGGGGGGGAAGGGGTTATGTCGGACTCTTACTGACTAAAACCCCTGCGGGATGTCTACCTGTCGGACCGTGAGGAGGAGAGTCGGGGGAACTACTCCCGTATTCCCTCCCCAACCCCCCGGCCCCAGGGCACCCTTCCGGGAGCCCCTCGCCACCTGTGTATCGCGCCCTGTTCCACGAAGGGAATCCAGGGCGCGGTCCCCGAAGAGGGTTACCCCCTGCCGGTTGGCCTTCTGATGTCTCCTGTCTCAGAAAGAAACACACCTATTCGTGGTACATCCAACTTGATCCAACTGCGATTAACCGATCGGTGTTGACAAGTTTGACATTTAATGTTAGGTACTAGGGAAAAATGACAGTCGTATAGATATACTATATATATCTAGAAAATGTCCATCCGATGTCCATTACTTATTATTTCTCGCTAAGTAGACTGCCCATCTAACCCTGAAAAAAAATGGACCATCTATCCCCGTTTGGAGAGTTCGCGTAAAAATGCATATACCGTGTGAAACGTAGTCTCGGTGACGAATTTCGAGATTAAATATGAAAATACGACGTTTTTTTAGTTGTTTAAGCCCAGGTCTAATGTTGTAAATAAACCATACTCACAAGGTATTTTTCCGTGTGAAACATTTTGGAGGTTACTAGAAACAAAATATTTATTTACTCACAATAACAGTGTTTCTGGACATCAGGATGAAACACACTTACTTGTAGTACATCCAACTCACAACTGACCGATCAGCGCTGACGTCTAGCATATAATAACAAAATTATAGCTATTGACCATCTATCCCTTATGGCCATCTATTCCGGACTTATCCTACACTTTTTAGAAGAGATTGAGAATTGGATCTACGTCTTCTAAGCGTATCTAATGAATCGCTTAGAATAGCCAACATTCCAATTTCGTTAATTCTAAATTTTGCAGATAAGAGACGTGGCTCAAATAAGTTTTAATAAGTAACATTGTGATGTTATGTTAGGCAGTGGTTTATTAACTCTTGGTGTAACGGTTATAGAAAACTAATTTTATTAAAACATGTTGATTGAATGATTTTTCATGCAGTTTTCTAAGATAATATATTATATTATGTACATAATTGTCATACTACTTTTCGTTATACAGGGTGTCTCAAAAGTAACGGACCGCTCTAATAACTCTTCAGTATTGAAGTTTCAAGGAAAATGATTTGAATAAAAGTTGTAGGGATTTAATGTGAGCTATCTTATGACAACCTTGACTTTGATCTTGACCTTCATTTTCAAAGTCATTTGGAGGTCAACTTGCGTTTTTTAAACGGAAACTCCTATTTTTTATTACACCGTTTTTTTCTACTAGTTAATTTGAACAACTTTTGTCTAAAACATTTTTTCATTTGTCTAATATTTTTTGAGATATTTAAGGAAAACTTGATAACCTTTTCAATATTTAACTTACGATATCTCGCTAATTATTTGTCGGAAGAAAAAGTGGTACTAGACTTTCTTGCTTTATTTAGCCTCAAGAATATATTGTTACAATAGCGCCTTGATTTTTATTAATTTGATGATTTTAAAATTTCCAAAAATCAGTAAGTTAACAAAAGTCAAGGCGCTATTGTAACAATATATTCTTGGGACTAAATAAAGCAAGAAAGTCTAATATTGCTTTTTCTTCCGACAGATAGTTAGCGAGATATCGTAAGTTAAATAATGAAGAAGTTATCAAGTTTTCCTCAAATATCTAAAAAAATATTAGACAAATAAAAAAATGTTTTAGACAAAAGTTGTTCAAATGAACTAGTAGAAAAAAACAATGTAATAAAAAATAAGGGTTCCCGTTTAAAAAACGCAAGTTGATCTTCAAATGACCTTAAAAATAGAGGTCAAGGTCAAAGTCTAGGTCATCATAAGCCCATTTACGTAGCTCACTTAAATCCCTACAACTTTTATTCAGATCATTTTCCTTGAAACTTCAATACTGAGAAGTTATTAGGGTGGTCCGTTACTTTTGCGATGCCCTGTATATATATACACATCAGTAAATTATTATAGATCATAGTTTATTTCAGAAAATTTGTAACATATCAAAACAATTGGCTTTATTAGTGATAATTAATGTTTATTTACATTCGTTGGTTCCCATATGTTATTTCATGCCGCTTGAATTATCTCCTCACACCTATTGTGTTACAATTTGATAATTTTTGTGATGTGTTTGAAATATTTAGGGCCCCTGAAGAGATATATAAAAGATAAAAATAATTAATGAAATAAATATATAGAACGGATATCCTGATAATGAAATGAAAAGATTTCATGTACAGGATGACCCATTTTAAAAAACACACTTCGATAATTCTTCAACAAAGCATTTTCAGCAAAAATGTCAGGACAAAAGTTATATAATTTTAAGGAGGATATAAAACAACTATCATCATCATTTTGTTTACAAATGGTACCACTTTCTAGATATTCACTGATCATTATTTTTCTTAAATAGAAACCCCAATTTTTTATTACACCGTCCTTTCCTATCAATTAATCTGAACAACTTTTGTCTCAAACATTTTTTTATTTGCCTAATATTTTTTGAGTTATTTAAGGAAAACTTGATAACTTTTTCAATATTTAACCCACGATATTTCTCTAACTATTTGTCGGGAGAAAAAGTGATATTAGACTTTTTTGTTTTACTTGGTCTCAAGAATATATTGTTACAATAGCGCTCTTACTTTTGTTAATTTGATGATTTTGAAATTTCCAAGTCAGTAAGTTAACAAAAGTCAGAGCGCTCTTATAATACGTAATATATTCTTGAGATTAAATAGAGCAAAAAAGTCTAGTACCACTTTTTCTTCCGACAAATACTAGGTGCGCAACTAAGTTTCCGGGTTTCACACATGGATGGCGCTAACGACATATGTAGTCGACATACATGTCTGAAGTTGTGTTTTTTTATAGCTTGGACATCTGTTAACAATAACCAGTTGTAATACCAACACATATCGCAACGCAAAAATATTTTTTCTAACAACGAAGATGTCGAATTTTATTTCAAATAAACAGCATTTGCGGGAAGCTTTGCTTTTCTGCTTTAACTTGAAAAAAAGTGCAGCTGAAGCACGTCGTTTGCTTGAGGAGGCCTACGGCGAACATGCACCATCGAAAACTACCTGCGAAGATTGGTTTAAACGCTTCAGAAGTGGCGATTTCGACTGTGGACAAGGAGCGCTCCGGAAGACCAAAAACAGGATCTGCGAATTGAGGACGTCGATCTGCAAGCGTTATTGGATGAAGATGATACGCAAACACAAGATCAACTTGCGGAGGCATTAAACATGACTCGCCGAGGTATTTTCAAACGTTTACATGCCATGGGAAAAATTCAAAAGGAAGGAAAATGGGTGCCGCATGGGTTGACTGAGAGACAGATGGAAAATCGAAGAGCCACTTCCGAAATTTTGCTTTTGCGGCATAAAATAAAGAGTTTCCTGCATCGAATTGTTACTGGCGATGAGAAGTGGATATATTTCGCGAATCCCAAACGCAAAAAATCGTGGCTTTCACCTGGCGAAGCATCAACATCGACGGCACAGCCGAAGCACGGCTTCAGAAAGAAGACAATGCTCTGCGTTTGGTGGGATCAGAAAGGAATCGTGTACTATGAGCTGCTGAAAAGAAGTCGGGCGAAACTGTCAATGGGCATTGCTAGCGACAACAACTGATCAATTTGAATCATGTATTGCTCGAAAGACGGCCAGAATGGGACACGAGACACGAAGGAGTGATATTGCAGCACGACAACGCTCCGTGCCATCGCACTTCCATCGTCCAGGACACTATCAAAACGCTGAAATGGGATCTGCTACCGCACCCGCCGTATTCGCCAGACTTGGCCCCTTCCGATTATCATTTGTTCGGGTCGATGGCGCATGGCTTGGCTGGATAACACTTGGCCAATTTCGAAGAAGTGCAAAATTGGTTGAATGAATGGTTTCGGTCCAAAGACGCGTCGTTTTATCGTCGCGGTATTCATGTATTGCCAGAGAGATGGCAAAAATGTGTAGCTAGCGAGGGACAATATTTTGAATAAACCATTTTTTGTATTTCTCTTGAAATTTTCCATTTTTCATTGATCAAAAAACGGAAACTTAGTTGCGCACCTAGTAGTTAGCGAGATATCGTGAGTTAAATATCGAAAAAGTTAACAAGTTTTTCTTAAATATCTCAAAAAATATTAGGCAAATAAAAAAATGTTTCAAACAAAAGTTGTTCAGATTAATTGGTAGGAAAGGACGGTGTAATAAAAAGTTGGGGTTGTAATAAGAATTTCCATTTAAGAAGTAATGATCAGTGAACATCTCGAAAATGGTGCTGTTTGTAAATAAAATAGTATAATTGTTTTATCCCTCTTGAAATCATATAACTTTTGTCCGAAACATTTTTGCTGAAAATGCTTCGTTGAAGAATTATCGAGGTGCGTTTTTTAAAATGGGACACCTTGTATAATTCCTTTTCGTTGCAATCAAAAGTAGCAAGTTTTTAATTGATGCTAAACAGAATTTTCAAACGTAACCTGTATTTCACTTACGAAAATTTAATACAAGTTTGAATCTTTCTAATACGTGACAAATTAACACGTATTGTAAGATTTTTCCACGCGTATGCTGTTTATAATGCATTCTTATAGTCTTTCGTGTTACATAAGCCTATCTATAAACAAAACCAGTTTTACAAAGTATCTTATCCTGTTTCCATGTATGTAACAAATATAAATCTACGCTATGCCAAATAATTGCGCATATAAAACATGCGATTAATGCTAATTGTGGTTTATATGTTCTCCAAAATTGCATTATGTACTCGGTGTTAGGAAATACTTACATTGTTCACCGAAATGTTTTGTCCTATATATACTTTTTAGAAAATATTGGAAATTATACTCATCTCTTCTACACGCATCTAATAATCCACATCGAAAGGCAGATGTTCTAATTTCCGTAATTCTTAATAAAATCTCACAAGAAAAAGATATGGTTCAAATTTTTGAGTTTTAATAAAAAACACTGTTATGTTATAGTAGATAGTGGTTTATTAACTCTGGTGTAACAATTACCAGAAAGTTATCACGTTTACTCTATGAGAAATAGTTACGCATATAAAATGATAGAACGACACCAATTTTAATCTATGTGCCGTGAAGAATTTCATTATTTGATATTAAAAAATATTTTTTTAATTCCTCGAGGCGTTTTATCTAACATATATTTTTTAGAGGAGAATGGAAATCGAATTTATGCCTTGTACGCACATCTAGTAAACCGTGCTGAACAGCTGACGTTTCTTATTCTATAGAAATTTTTATTAAAAATCTCATAGAAAAAGGATATGATTCAAATGTATTTCAGTTTCAGTAAGAGAGTGTTATGTTATAGTAGTAATGGTTTATTAACTCTTAATATAATGGTTATATGAATCGATTTTATTAAGATTTCTTGATCGGATGATTTTTTATGCAGTTCTAACATATTATATTACATTATATTATATTGCATACATAATTCTTGTATTTAGTTTTCGTTACCATAATCATCAGTAAATTATTACAGATTACAGATTATTCCAGGAAATATATAGAACGTCAGAATTTGACTTCATTAGTAACAATTAATATTTTTATTCATATTTATAAGTTGTATGTTATTTTATGTCCCTTGCATTATCTTTCGACATCTGCTGTATTGTTTGATGTATGATTTTTGTGATGTGCACCTTTCAAATATTTAGGTCCCAATGAAGCGAAATATAAAAAATAAAAATAGTAAATGAAATAATTATATAGAACGGAAATCCTGATAAATGAGAAGATTTCACATATAATTCCTTTTGTTGTAATTAAAGGTAACAAATTTTTAATTGATAATTACCTGCTTGTCTTTAATATTATTCCTTTTTGCGACAAAGTTTGTATGAGTTAGATAGTTGCCCTGGTGGGCAAACCATTGTAAATGTCTGCAACGCTACAATATTTAATTACGGAGTTTGCGCAAATTTTTGCAGGTGCGCATATGGATTTACGGTTGTAAACGAAAGCTGTGTTACTGGACGAATATTTTTTGACTTTCCAAGCGATATTAGGCTGAACATTATCAGCACAATTATTAAAAAAAATATGGAGAAACACTTTCATGGTACCGTTTAATAATTTCGATATTCTTCACGACCTTAAAGCCAAGAAACAAAATTTAGGAAGTCAAATTCTTTGTAGCAACTTTTTTATTAGTGATAATTTATTTTCGTTGAATTTCGTAAAGTCTTTTAAACATAATTTTTGCACGTTAATCTCACTATTTCGTATTTCATTTATCAAAATTTAATACGAGTTTGAATCTTTCCGACATGTCTTACCGTCTCGACAAATTAATACGTATAAGATTTTTTCACACGTATGCTATTTATGCGTTCTTGTAGTCTTTCGTATTACGTAAGCCTATCTATGAACAAAACCAGTTTTACAAAGCATCCTGTTGCCAGTTATGTAATAAATAATCACTAATTTACGCTATGCCAAATAGTTGCGTATATAAAAGCGGTGATTAATAATAATTACTAATCGTGGTTTATGTGCTGTCCAAAATTGCACTACAGGGTGGTCCATTTTAATCGACAATCGGTATTATTTCGTCAAGTGAGCCAGATCGCGAAAAATGTTTCAAACAAAAGTTGTAAGATTCAGAGGAAGACATCTGACGATGATATCGGCTTGACCTTGGATTGTCGTTTGAAGGTTACGTAAAGGTCAACTTTAAAATCCTAAATAGAACTCCTAATTTTTTATTACATATTCTTATACCCCTTGTCAAAGCGTTTTTAAAACACTATATACTTTTGTCTTTTGCGTAAGCCATTCCCAAGATATGAAGTTTCAAAGTTGACATCATTCGCATTACCCGATGTAACCGCTGGTAACCGATGTAACTGGGAGGTTGCTCGCTCGGATTTGTACATTATAATGGCCCTAACAAGGGCCGATTTTATGTATGTGTGGGGGGGGGGCTCATTCTTCATAGATGTTCGAAAACGCCGCCATCGACAGCTCGGCACATTCGAACTCCCTTTTCGAAACTCTCGAGATTCAGAAGAACATTTGCTGGAATCGCTCGGCATGCATTTCTGATGCGATCCATCATATCCTGCCACATCGTTGGCGGTTAATGAAACACTGCATCTTTCAAAAATCCTCACAGATAAAAATCTGGAGAAATAAGGTCGGGTGATCTTAGTGGCCACCAAATTTGGATCATCCCGACCTATCCATCGATGAGGGAAAATGGCATTGAGGTGATTCCCGAAGGAAAGTAAACTATGATGTACAAATTCGACCGAGCAACCTCCCCGCGGTGTACATCGGGTAATGCGAATGCCAGCGATATGTCAACTTTGAAGCTTCATATCTTGGGAATGGCTTACGCAAAAGACAAAAGTAGGTAGTGTTTTGAAAACGCCTCGATAAGGGTTATAAGAATATGCAATAAAGAATGAGGAGTTCCATTTAGGATTTTAAAGTTGACCTTTACGTGACCTTCAACCGACAATCCAAGGTCAAATCGAGGTCACCATCAGATGTTCCTCTCTGAACCCTATAACTTCTGTTTGAAATATTTTTCGCGATCTGGCTTACCTAACGAAATCTCCGAAATTTCCGATTGTTGATTAAAATGGACCTCCTTGTATTATATATTCGATGTTAGGAAACACATTGTTCTCCCGAAATGTTTTGTCCGATATACACTTTTTAGAGGAGATTGGAAATGAGATTTATGTATTTTACATACGTCTAATAAAACGTAGAACGGCTGACGCTCCTATTTCGGAAATTCTTACTAAAATTTCACAGGAGAAAGATATGGTCCAAATGTTTACTTTTTTTGTAAGAAACAGTATTATTTTGTGATAAGTAATGGTTTATTAAATCTTAGTGTAATGATTACATGGATCAATTTTATTAAGACTTCTTAATCGAATGGTTTTTCATACAGTTCTTTAACATAGACACATTATATTATATCACACATATAATTGTCGAAAATTATTGTTCGTTACTATAACCCTTAATAAATATTATAGATTATTTTAGAAGATACATCGGATGTCAGGAGAATTGACTTTAATAGTGACAATTAATGTTTATTTATATTTCTAAGATGCCAGTTATTTTCAATCTCCTCTCATTTGCATTGTTAACTCCTCCCCTCTGCTTTATTAGATATTTCTTGTGTCATAGGATGCCTCAAATATTTAGGCCTGAGGAGAAATATATAAAATATGGAAATAATATGTATATAAAGAATAGAAATTTTGATGAGGAGTCTTGATATATAATTCCATTTATTGTAATTAAAGGTAAATTTTTATTGATATTTACCTGCTTGTCTTCAATTTTATTATTTACAACACAGTATCTCGACATATTCCGTATCGATCTTTTATTTTTCCTGGTAGCAAGTTGCTTCTTCAAAATTCAGATGGTCTATAATATGAGGTGGATCTATTTGAATGACAAACGGTGTTTGATGGACTTGTTTTTGACATTCCAAGTGATATAAAACTGGACATTATTAGGATAATTATTGAGGAAACATGAAAGAATATTTTCATTGGTCGGTTTAATAATCTCAATATTCTTCACAACTTTAAAGCCAAGAAACTAAAGTCAGGGAGTCAAATTCTTTTTAGCAACTTTTATTTTAGTGTGACAACTTATTCTTGTGAAATATCGTAACGCTTTTTAAACACAATTTTCGTACGTTAATTTACATTTCACTTACGAAAATTTAATACGAGTTTGAATCTTTCCGACACGTCTTACCGTCTCGATAAATTAACACGTATTGTAAGCTTTTTTCACGCGTACACTGTTTATAATGCGTTTTTATAGTCTTTCGTCTTACATAAACCTATACATAAGTCTATAAGCAAAACCAGTTTTAGAAAGTACTTTATTCTGTTTCTATGAATGTAACAAATACAAATCTACGCTATGCCAAATAATTGCGCGTATAAAATATGTGTTTAATGCTAATTGTGGTTTATATGCTCCCCAAAATTGCATTGATTATCGATATTAGGAAATACTTACATTGTCCTTCGAAATGTGTTGTCCGATATACACTTTTTAGAAGAGATTGGGAATTGGACCTATACCTCTTAAGCGCATCTAATGAATCGCGTAGAACGACGTTCTAATTTCGTTAATTCTTACTAAATTTTACAGATAAAAGACGTGACTCAAATAAGTTTTAATAAGAAATAGTGTGATGTTATATTAGGTAGTGGTTTATTAACTCTTAATGTAACGATTATAGAATACCAATTTTATTAAGACATTTGATCGAATGGTTTCATACAGGTTTCTAACATAATATATTATACAATATTACGCACATCATTGTCATACTATTTTTCGTTACCATAAACGTCAGTAAATTATTATAGATCATAGTTTATTTCAGAAAATATATAGAGCTTCAGAGTAATTGACTTTATTAGTGATAATTAAGTTTTGTTTACATTTGTAAGTTGCCATACATGTTATTTTGTGTCTCTTAAATTACCTCCTTGTATTTGTTATATTATTAGATTTTTGTGTTGTAGAACGGCTCAAATATTTAGGCCTGAGGAGAAATATATAAAAGATGTAAATAATATGAATATATAGAATAGAAATTCTGATAGATGAGAAATTTTTATGTATAATTCCATTTGTTGTAATTAAATTGTTGTAATTTGTTATAATAATTTATTATAATTAAAGATTACAAATCTTTAATTGATAAATACCTGCTTGTTCAATATTATTGCTTATCGCGCAATATCTCGACATATCCCGCGTGGGTCTTTTTGTTTCCCTGGTGGGCAAGTTACTTCTTCAAATTCCGGAGTATCTATAAGATGAGCTTTGTATGGTACAGCTGGTACAATTGGTTCACGTGTAGGCTGTATAAATGGTGTTGAATGTCTTTCGATGGTAGTCGGAAGTTGTGTTGTTTGTTCTGGAGGGATTCTTGTTGACAATCCAAGTGATATTAGGCTGAAGGTTATCAGCATAATTATTAAGAAGATATGGAAGAACACTTTCATTGTGTCGTTTAATAATCTCGATATTCTTCACGATCTTAAAGTCAACAAACTAAAGAAGGTCGAATTCTTCTTAGCAACTTTTTTATTATAATGATAAATAATCTTGACGATTTTCGTAAAATTCTGTACACATAACTTTTGCACGTTAATTTGTATTTTACTTATGAAGATTTAATACGAGTTTGAATCTTTCCAACACGTCTTAACGATTCAACGAATGAACGCGTATTGCAAGTTCTATTCATGTGCATGCTATTTATAATGCGTTCTTACAGTCTTCGGTATTATGTAAGCCTCTTTGTCAGTGAAGGAAAGCAGTTTTAATAATGTAGTTCCTTTTATCACACATGCACACAAATTTATCACAAATTACTATGTCTAAAGAATAATAAACAGTTGCGCATATAAAAGAGGAGATTGATATCAATCTTGATTCATGTTCCGTAGAAAATTGCATTATTTAATTAATTCTATGAAATACTTACATTGTTTTTCGAAATGTTTTTAATGATATAGACTGTTTAGAGGTTGGGAAATGTACGCGCATTAAAGGAACTATATTAGCTGGCTTTTTTATTTGACAATTCCTATTAAAATTTCGCAGAAAAAGTAGTGCAAAGTTCATAAAGTTTGATAAAAAATAGTGTTATATTGTTAGCAGTTAGTTGTTTATTAACTCTGAACGTGACTATTATATAAACAAATTTATTAACATTTCTTAATTACGAATTATTTTCCACACTTTTTAATGTTATATGACATTATACACATAATTACCGTTCTAATATTTGTTATTATGAACATTATTAAATAGGATCATAAATTATTTCGCAGAAACTTAAATATCAATTAGTGATACCAAATCTTTAATTGATAATTACCTGCTTGTTTTCAATTTTATTACTCATCCTGCAATAATTCTATATATTTCATATATATCTTTTAGTTTTTCTGGTAGGCAAATCACTTCTATCAATCTCGGGGTGTCCGTAATATAAAGTGGATAAATGCGACGTTAGATATATTTCGGTGGTAGACGGAAGCTGTGTAATTGGTTCTCAAGAGATTCTTTTTGACATTCCAAGGGATGTTAGAATGTTATTAGCAATTATTAAGAATATGGAGGAACACTTTCATTGCGCTGTTTAATAATTTCGATGGTCTTCACAACCTTAAAACCAAGAAGTTGAAGTTAGGGAGCCAAATTCCTTTAAACAACTTTTTTATTATAATGATAACTTATTCTTGTTAAAATTCATGAAGTCCTTTAAACACACGTTTTTTTCGCACGTTAATCTGTATTTCATGTATGTTTTGAAGTTATATGAAATTTAATACGAGTTTGAGTCCTTCCGACACGTCTTAATGTCTTGATAAATTAACATGTATTGTAACTTGATACATGCTATTTATATTTATAATGTGTTATATATATTTATAATGTGTTCTTATGGTCTTTCATATTACTAAAACTTATTTATGAGCAAAACTAGTTTTACAAAGTACGTTATCCTATTTTCACTTTTGTATTAGATACGCAATTTAATTCTCGGCCCCAAAATTTGATTATTGACAATACCTATTAAAATCTGTATTTTTTTCCGTCATATAGTGGTTTGAAAATATTAACTCTAAGCTTTAAAACATACTGTAATAGTTAGCGGTCCTGCTAACATAATCTTAAAAAATAGTAGTGAAGGCTATGTCGTTCGACAAATAGCAATATCTGAGGCGCTGCCTTTCATTCACATTTCAATTGAAAAATGCCACAGAGGCTAAAGAAATGAGTTGTTCGGCTTTGATCGAAGATGCTATTTCTTACAATACATATAAGAAGTGGTCCCAAAGTCTTTAAAAATGGAACTTGGATTTCAAGGACGAACAACGACCAGGACAACCAAAAATAGTTGAAGATGGAAAATTCGAAGATCTTTTGGAGGAAAACCCTTGTCACACTCAGGTAGAGCAGGTAGAGCTTGTAGATTTATTTAAAGTAATCTGACAAGCCATTTTCAAATGCTTACATAAGCTGGGAATATCTAAAAGAAGAGCTGTTATGTTTCGCGTGAACTCACTCCTGAAAACCAAAGAAGACACTGCTTTGTCCTTTCAGGTCTAAAAAGGACTTTTTTGCACAAGATAATGACCTCTGATAAAAGTGGATACTTTATGACAATCCGAAGAGGTGAAAATCTTGGGTTTGTCTGAGCGAGCCATCGAGACCAACACTACAGAACTAAACATTCATGTAAAAAAAAAGTTTGTTGTGTATTTGGTGGGACCAGAAGGGCGCTATTCACTATGAGTTACTCAAATTCGGTTGAACCATCACTGCTGAGCATTATCAGCAGCAACTAATTCGAATGAGTGACGCACTTGAGGAGAAAAGGCCTTTTACCGACAATGGGAGAAAGAAAGTGATTTTGCTGCAGCGCAGCTATACACAACAGAAACAACACTGGACACCATCTTCGCCTTGCGCTAGGAAATTCTCTCTCACGCGACGTATTCTCCAAACGTCGCCTCTTTGGATTACCATTTATTTAGATCTCTGCAACATCACATCACCGATTTATACCTTATATCTGTTGAGGATGTTGAAAAAAGCATCGTTGAGTTTACCGAAACAACTCAAAACAACTATCTTTTTTTCAAAGTGGAATTCGGAAGTTGCCTAGAAGATAACGGAAATATATAGAAAGTGAGAGGAATTATTTGGTAGATTAGGTAACTATTTGTTTTTCTATAAATAAACATCAAAATTTTGTAAAAAGTGCCGGGAATTAAGCTGCACAACTAATAACAAATAGTCATTAATCTACGCCGACAAATAATCGTGCATGTAAAGGATGCGATTAATATTAATTGTAGTTTATGTACTGTCCAAAATTGCATTAATTATTTGATGTTAGGAAATATACTTTTTAGAAGAGATTGTAAATTGAATCTATGCCTTTTACGTATATCTAATGAACCGCGTTGAAAGGTTGACGTTTTAATTCCGGTAACTTTTATTAAAATTTCACAGATAAAAAATATGGTTCAAATGTTTTTGCGTTTTAATAAGAAACAGTGTCATGTTACAATAGTACTAATGATTTATTGACTCTTAGTGTAATAGTTATATGAATCGATTTTATTAAAATGTCTTAATTAAATGACTTTTCATACAGTTCAATATATTTTATATTACACATATAATTATCATACGACTTTTCATTGCCATGAGCATCAATAAATTATTATAGATTATAGATTATTTCATAAAAGGTATATAGAACGTCGGAACAATTAACTTTCTTGATGATAATTGATGTTTATTTTCATTTGTAAGTTGCCATGCATTATTTTATGTCCTCTAAATTACAACTCTAAATTACGACTTTAAATTACTCGTACTTCTTCAAATCTGCTGCATTATTTGACTATTTCTGTATCGCGCAACGTCTCAAATATTTAGGTCTGAAGCGGAAATAATATAAATATATAGAATAGAGGTCCTTATAGATGAGAAGTTTTCATGTTGTTAACTACATTTGTTGTAATTAGTGACAGCATATCTTTAATTGATAATTACCTGCTTGTCCTCAATTTTATTGCTTATCCCGCAATATCTCGACATATTCCGTGTGGATCTTTTAGTTTCCCTCGTGGACAAATCACTTCTTTAAATCTCGGAGTGTCTATAAAATAAGGTGGATAAGTATGAGGTTCTGCTGGATGTATTTCGGTGGTAGACGGAAGCTGTGTTGTTGATTCTCGACGGACTCTTTCTGATTTTCCAAGTGATATTAAGCTGAACATTATCAGCATAATTATTAAGAAAACATGGAGAAACACTTTCATTATGCCGTTTAATAATCTCGATATTCTTCACCACCTTAAAACTAAGAAACTAAAATTAGAAAGTCAAATTCTTTTTAGCAACTTTTTTATTATAATTATAACTTATTCTTGTTGAATTTCGTAAGGTCCTTCAAACATAGCTTTCAGGTTAATCTGTATTTCACTTACAAAAATTTAATACGAGTTTGAATCTTTCCGACACGTCTTACTGTTCCGACAAATTAACACGTATTGCAAGTTCTTTTCAAACGTATGCTATTTATAATGCATACCTGTCTTTCGTATTTCGTAAGCATATCTAGCAAAACCAGTTTTATAAAAAGTCTTATCCTGTTCCCATATATGCAACAAATAATTACTAATCTATGCTATTTAAACTAATTAACTGACAAATAGTTGTGCATATAAAAGATGAGATTAATACTAATTACGGTCAACGTACCGTCCAAAATTGCATTATTCCATGTTAAGAAATACTTATTTTGTTCTCCGAAATATTTTGTCCGATATACACATTTTAGAGGAGGTTAGGAATTAAACCTACCTTGCATTCTACACAAATCTAATGGTCCGCGTTGAACGTTCTAATTTCGATAATTTTTACTAAAATTTCACAAGAAAAAGGTGCTGTTTAAATATTTATGAGCTTTAATAAGAAACATATTGCGTTATAATAGGTAATGGTTTATTAAATCTTAGGGTAACGGTTATAGAAAACTAATTTTAATAAGACATTTTCATCGAATAATTTTTTTCATATAGTTTACTAACAATGTAATGTACTATATTACACACATACTAATTATCACATACTATTTTTCGTTACCATAAACATTAGTAAATTGTTATAGATTATAGCTTTTTCAGAAAATATATAAAATATCAGAACAATTGACTTTTAGTGATAATTAATATTTATTTATATTTTTTAATTGCTATACATGTTAACTGTGTCTCTTGAATTACCTCCTCACACCTGCTGTATTGTTTATTAATTTTTGTGATGTGTCTCGAATAATTAGAGTTCCTGAAGAAATATAAAAGATAAAAATAATTAATAATAAAATGAGTAATAAAATGAATATATAGAATGGAAGTCTTGATAAATGTAAATATTTCATATATAATTGCTTTTTGTTATAATTAAAGGTAGCGAATTTTTAATTGATGGTATCTAATAATTTCGATATTTTTCACGACTTTAAAGTTAAGAATCTGATGTTGGGAAAACATTTTTTTTAGTAATTTTTTTATTATATTGATTTTATTTTATTAAATTGTTTTCGTAAAATTGCACAGGATCCTTAACACACAATTTTTGCAGGATAATCTGTATTTCACTTATAAAAATTTAATACGAATTTAAATTTTTTGAACACATCTTAGCGTCGCAACGAATTGACATGTATTGCATATTTTGTCAACGTGCATGCTATTTGTGGTGTATTTTTGCAGTTACTATAATCATCAGTAAATTATTACAGATTACAGATTATTCCAGGATATATGTAGAACGTCAGAACAATTGACTTCATTAGTGACAATTAATATTTATTCACATTTGTAAGCTGTCGTATGTTATTTTATATCCTTTACATTATCTTTTCACATCTGCTACATTGTTTGATGTGTGATTTTTGTGATGTGGGACCTTTGAAATATTTAGGGCCTCATGAAGAAAAATATGAAAGATAAAAATAGTAAGTGAAATGAATATATAGAATGGAGATCCTGATAAATGAGAAAATTTCATATATACTTCTTTTTGTTGTAATTAAAGGTAGCAAATTTTTAATTAATAATTATCTGCTTGTTTTTAATATTATTCCTTTTTGCGACAAAGTTTGTATGGGTCAGGAAGTTGCTCCGGTGGGCAAACCACTGTAAATGCACTCTACAACCACCACTGCAACTCTACAATATTTGATAGATCTCCCGAATTAATGTGTATTCGCGGGTATGCAATTGGATTTAGGATTGTAGATGGAAGCTTTATTACTGGATGACACTTTTTGACTTTCCAAGTGATATTAGGCTGAACATTATCAGCACAATTATTAAAAAAACATAAAAAAACTCTTTCATTGTGCCGTTTAATAATTTGATATTCTCTACGATTTTAAAGCCAAGAAACTAAAATTAAAAACCCAAATTCTTTTTAGCAACTTTTTTATTATAATGATAACTTATTTTGGTTGAATTTCGTAAGGTCCTTCAAACATAGTTTTCGCACGTTAATCTATATTTCACTTACAAAAAATTACAAAAATAATACGAATTTGAGTCTTCCCAACACGTCTTACCGTCCCAACAAATTAACACGTATTGTAAGATATTTCCATGCGTATGCTGTTTATAATGCGTTCTTATAGTCTTTCGTATTACATAAATCTATCTATGAACAAAACAAGTTTTACAAAATGTTCTGTTGCCGGTTATGTAACAAATAATCACTAATTTACGCTATGCCAAATAATTGCATATATAAAAGCGGCGATTAATAATAATTACTAATCGTGTCCAAAATTGCATTATATGCTCACCCGTAAAAAAACAGATCTTTAAATTTTAGCACAGTTTTCTGCATATCTTTCAATAGCAATAACTCAGCCAAAAATCATCTTATTGATATGAAATAAGGCTCCAATTAAAGCTTGGATATTTCTTGTCGACAAAAACCTAAAAGTGAATTATAATAAATGTTTTACGAAATGGCGGATGTTAAAGATAGACTTCGATTAATAAGAAAAGAAATTGGTTTTTTAATTGTTGCATTGCTCAGTGAAACCGGTCCTTTGGTACAAAAATGTATGAGGTTTAAAGCTCATTTATTTCCTAACAAATTTATATTTTAATTTTTCTGCGATCTTTTTTGATAAAGTTATGCCGCTTTGAAGAAAATGTTACAAAATGAACAACCTCTTCTCATAAAACCTGCGATTGAGAATAAAAATTTTCGTGGAAAACTTTTCCAAAAAGGAAACATTTAACTCGATCAAGATATTCCATGTGGTGGTAGATGATCGGATTTAAATCTCGTGTGAGTGCGTATCTATTCTCACAAATTCTTTTCACCAACTTTTTTTATTATGGTGTCACAACTTATTCTTGTGGAATTTCGTAAGATTCTTTAAACACAATTTTCCCACATTAATCTATATTTCACTTACGAAAATTTAATACGAATTTGAATCTTTCCGACACGTTTCATCATCCCGACAAATTCACACGTAAGTTTTTTTTCACGCGTATGCAGTTTATAATGCGTTCTTATAGTCTTTCGTGTTACATAATCCTAGCTATGAGCAAAACCAGTTTTACAAAGTATCTTATTTTGTTTCCATGTATATAACAAATATATATCTACGCTATGCCAAATAATTAAGCGTATAAAGTATGTGTAAAGCATATAACGCTAATTGTGGTTTATATGTTCTCCAAAACTGCATTATGTATTCAATTTTAGGAAATACTTACGTTGTTCTCCAAAACGTTTTGTCTGATATATAGTTTTTAAAGAGGATTGGGAATTGGACTCATGCCTTCTACGTGCATCTAATGAACTGCGTGGAAAAGCAGGTGTTCTAATTTCGATAATTTTTACTAAAATTTCAAAGAAAATGTATGGTTTAATTGTTTTTAAGTTTTAATAAAAGACACTATTATGTCATAGTAGCCAGTGATTTATTAACTTTTAATGTAACAATTACATGGATCGATTTTATTAAGATTTCTTAATCGATTAGTTATTGATACAGTTCTGTAACATACATCTATTATATTGAATTGTAAACATAATTGTATATACTATTGTTCGTTACCATAACCGTTAATAAATATTTTAGATTATAGATTATTTCAGAAGATATATATAATGTCAGAACAATTGATTTTAATAGTGATTACTGTTTATCTATATTTGTAAGTTGCCATATGTACTATTTTGTTTTTTGAATTATCTCCTCTCATTTGTTGCATTATTAGATATGTTTTAGATATGTTTTAGATATGTTTTAGATATGTTTAGATATGTTTTAGATATGTATATTAGATATGTTTATGTGTGTCGTGGGACGTCTCAAATATTTAGGTCTGAGGAGAAATATATAAATGATAGAAATAATATGAACATTTAGAATAAAAATTCTGATAGATGGCGAGTTTTTATACATAATTTTATTTAATGTAATTAAAGGTAGCAAATTTTAAATTAATATTTACCTGATTGTCACCAATTTATTGTTTATAACATAATATCTCGACAGATTCCGTATTGGTCTCTCATCATTCCTGGTGCGCAAGCTCTTTCAACAATCGGGTCCCCAATATAAGGTCTAGGTCTAGGTCTAGGATCCATTCCAGGTCTAGCATCCAGGATGGGAGGAAATGCTCGACGGGTTCTTTTTGACATTCCAAGTGTCATTAAACTGAACATTATCAGCATAATTATTAAGAAAACGTGAAGGAATGTTTTCATTGTACTGTTTAATAATCTCGATATTCTTCACAACTTTAAAGCCAAGAAATTAAAGTTATGAAGTTAAATTCTTTTTAGTAACTTTTTTTTATTATAGTGTGACAACTTATTCTTGTTCAATTTCGTAAGGTCCTTTTTCACAGATTAACGTGCGAAACACAATTTTCGTACGTTAATCTGTATTTCACTTACGAAAATTTAATACGAATTTGAATCTTCCCGACACGTCTTACCGTCACGACAACTTCACACGTATTATAAGTTTTTTTTACGCGTATGCAGTTTATAATGCATTCTTATAGTCTTTCGTGTTACGTAAGTCTATCTATGAGCAAAACCAGTTTTACAAAGTACCTTATCCTGTTTCCATGTACGTAACAAATACAAATCTACGCTATGCCACATAATTGTGCATATAAAACATGCGATTAATGCTAATTGTGGTTTATATGCTTTCTAACATTGCATTATATATTTGATGTTAGGAAATACTTACATTGTTCTCCGAAATGTTTTATCCGATATACACTTTTTAGAAGAGATTGGAAATTGGATCTATGCTTCCTGAGCGCATCTAATGAATTGCGTTGAACAATTGACATAATTCCTAATTTCGTTAATTCTTACTAAAATTTCACATGTAAAAGATGTGGCTTAAATGTTTCTGGGTTTTAATAAGAAACAATGTGATGTTATATTAGATAGTGGTTTATTAACTTTTAGTGTAACGATTATAGAAAACCAATTTTATTCAAACTTTCTGATCGAATGATTTTTTATAGTTTTTATAGTTTTCTAATATATTTATATTTTTTATAGTTTTCTAACATAATATATTATATTATACTATAGTCATACTATTTTTCATTATTATAAATATCAATAAATTATTATAGATTATAGTTTATTTAAAAAAATATGTAGAGCTTCAGAACAATTGATTTTATTAATAATATTTTACTAATAATATTTTATTAATAATAATAAGATTTATTAATAATATTTTATTAATAATAATAAGATTTTATTAGTAATAAATGTTTATTTACATTTGTAAGTTGCTATACGTTCTTTTATGTCACTTGAATTACCTCTTTACCTGCTGCATTGTTTGATAATTTTTGTGATGCATCTCAAACATTTAGGCCGCCTGAAGAGAAATGTAAAAAATAAAAGTAATTAACAGAATGAATATATAGAATGAAGATTCTAATAAGTGAGAAGATTTCATATATAATTTCTTTTATTATAATTAAAAGTAGCGACTTTTTTCTTTAATGTTATTGCTTATTCCGAAATATCCTGACACATACCGTGTGGGCCTTTTAGTTTCACTGCTGCACAAGTCACAACTTTAAGTTTCGGGCTATCTATAATATGATATCCTAAATAAAGACGATGATCTGCTGGATATATTCTGGCGGCATGAGGGAGTTGTGTTGTTTGTTCTTGACGGGCCCGCTCCTGCCCAACCGAGAGACCCCGTGAAGGGCAGACCCGTTTTGTTTAACGGAGGGGACGCTAATTTGTCCCCCCTTCTTCTTTTCCCCCCTTTTTAATTATCGCTGCCGCAGAAAAAGGATATGGTTTAAATGTTTTTGAGTTTCAATAAGAAACAGAGTATTGTGTCATAATAGGTAATGGTTTATCAATTTTTAGTGTAACGGTTATATGAACCGATTTTATTAAGATTTCTTGATCGAATGATTTTTTATGCAATTCTAACATATTATATTATATGATATTACATACGTAATTCTTATATTATTTTTCACTACCATGTCACAATAATTGGTTAATTTTTGTGATGTGGAACGTTTCAAATATTTAGGCCCTCATAAAAAAAATATAAAATATAAAAATAGTAAATGGATGTAAAGAATGGAAATTCTGATAAATGAGAAGATTTCATATATATTATAATATCTTTTGTTGTAATTAAAAGTAGCGAATTTTTAATTGATAATTACCTGCTTGTGTTTAATATTATTCCTTGTCACGATATATTCCGCGCAGACCTTTTAGTTGGTTTGGTGGGGAAATCACTTCTTAAAATTCCGGGAAGTCTATAATATTAGGTATCGCAGCTGACGGAGGTAGTGTAGGAACTATGTACGTATTATAGCTACGTTCCTAGGCAGAAATTGTGTTGCTGGACGGACCCTTTTTGACTTTCCATGTGATATTAGGCTGAACATTATCAGCTTAATCATTAAGAAAACATGGAAGAACATTTTTATTGTGCCGTTGAATAATCTCGATATTCTTCACAAACTTAAAGCGAAGAAAATAAAATTAAGAAGTCAAGTTCTTTTTAGCAACTTTTTTATTATAGTGATAACTTATTTTTGTTGAATTTTGTAAGGTCCTTTAAACATATTTTTCGCACGTTGATCTGTATTTTACTTACGGAAATTTAATACGAGTTTGAATCTTTCCGACATGTCTTACCGTCCCGATAAATTAACACGCATTGTAAGTTCTTTTCAAGCGCATGCTATTTATGATGCGTTTTTCCGTATTACGTAAACCTATCTAGCAAAACCAGTTTTATAAAAAATCTTATCTTGTTCCTACATATGCAACAAATAATCTCTAATCTACGCTATTTAAACTATGACAAACAGTTGTACATATATGGTAAAAAATATAATTAATACTGATTACGGTTCAGGTGCCGTCCAGAATTGCATTATTTATTCGATGTTAGGAAACATTTACATTGTTCCCTGAAATGTTTTATCCGATGTACACATTTTAAAAAAGATTAGGAATTAAGTCTATCTTGTCTTTTACATGAATCTAATAAACTGCGTTGAACCATTGACGATCCAATTTCGGTAATTTTTATTACATTTTCACAAGGAAAGGGTGCGGTTCAAATATTTTGGAATTTTGATATAAAGTAATATTATATTATAGTAGGTAGTAGTTTATTAACTCTTAGTATAACGATTGTAGAAAACAGATTTCATTAAAACTTTTTGATCGAATGTTTTTGCATAATTTATTTCAGAAAATATGTGGGGCATCAGAACAATTGACTTTATTAGTGATAATTAATGTTTATTTACATTTGTAAATTGCTATATATGTTATTTTATGTCTCTTGAATTATCTCCTCATATCTGCTGTATGGTTTGATAATTTTTATGATGTGTCTTAAATATTTAGGGCCATTGTTGTATATTGCGATTTTGGGATTAACGAGTGGTTGAGGTTCTAGAAGAAAAATTGTGCGTATGCGTTTTTATTTTGATACCGCTACAACAACTGAAAGGTTACGTTACACTTCTCGAACGTACTGTCCTCTAGTGATTTGAGGAGGAAAGTTACGGTGTGTCCTCAATATGGATAAAGGAGTGTTCTTGAGATTGTCTCTATAAAACTGAGCAGTTATATATAACAGTCCCTGAAGAGAAATACAAAAGATAAAAATAATTAATGAAATGAATATATAGAATGGAGCTCCTGATAATGAAATGAGAAGATTTTATATATAATTTATCTTTGTTGTAATTAAAGGTAGCAATTTTTTAATTGATGCGATAATTTCCGATAATTTCGATATTCTTCAGGACCTTAAAGCCAAAAATCCAACTGATGTTGGAAAAAAACTATACTTTTTAATAATAATTTTATTATATTGATAAATTTTTAGTGTACATAATTGTACTATTGTTCGTTACCATAACCGTTAGTAAATATTATAGATTATAGATTATTTCAGAAGATATATAGGATGTCAGGACAATTGATTTCAATAGTGATAATTACTGTTTTTCTATATTCATAAGTAAGCTATATATTATTTCGTGTCTTTTGAATTATCTCTTCTCATTTGCTGCATTATTAATCATGCTTTGTGTCGTGGAACGTCTCAAATATTTATGCCTGAGGTGAAATATGTAAAAGATGAAAATAATAAGTATGAAAATATAAAATGAAGATCCTGATAGGTGAGAAATTTTTATGTAGAATTCTATTTGTTATAATTAAAATTAACGAATTTTTAATTGATAATCACCTGCGTATCTTCAACATTATTGTTTGTTGCGACATATTCCGCGTGGATCTTTTAGTCTTCCTGGTGGGCAAGTCACTTCTTCAAATTGTGGAGTGTCTATAATATTAGACTTAGCCGTTGCACGTGTTACAGGTATAGGCGGTGGTGTAAAATAAGTTGGTACTAGCGGTAGTGGAGTATAAGTTGGTCTACGTGTTGTAGCTGTTAGATATATTTTGGTAGTAAACGGAAGATATGTTGTTGGTTCTCGACGGGCTCTTATTGACATCCCAAGTGATATTAGGCTGAATGTTATCAGCATAATTATCAAGAAGACATGAAGGAATATTTTCATTGTGCTGTTTAATAATCTCTATATTCCTCACGATCCTAATGGCAAGAGACTGAAATAAGAGAATCAAATTCTCTCTCTTCTTAGCAATATCCTTATTATATTGATAATCTTCTTGTTGAATTTTTTAAATTGCACTAAACACTGTTTCGGTTAAACTGTTTTTCATTTATAAGAATTTAGTATAGGTTTGTGATTCTTTTCACTACTTGTCTTGCCGTTTCGACGAGTTAACACATATTGCAAGTTCTATTCGCGCGCATGCTATTTATAATGCGTACTTCCGTATTATGTAAGCCTCATTATTAATGACAAAGTAGTTTTTCCTGTTATCTCACATGTATTAAATTATTATGTCTAAAGTATGATAAACAGTTATACATATAAAAGAGGCGATTAATATCTATCTTGATTTATGTTCCGTGAATAATTGCATTACTTAATCAATTTTATGAAATATTTACATTTTTTAATGTTTTTTTGTGATATAGACCGTTTAGAAGAAATTGAAAAATAAACTTATGTTTTGTGCGCGCATTAAAGGAACCGTACTAGCTGGTTTTTTTATTCGACCACTCCTACTAAAATTTTGTAGAGGAAAGCTGTGTACATATTCATAATGTTTTATAAGAAATAATGTTATATTGTTAGTAGTAAGTTTTTTATTAACTCTGAACTTAACTATAATATTATATGAACTAATTGTATTAACATTTTTTAGTCAAGCGAATTATTTTTCACTCTTTTTTATACGTTATATTATACGTTATATTATATTATACATATAATTACCGTTCTATATGCTACCATGAACATTGTTAAATTAAATTATAGATTATTTCGGAGTAATTTAAATATCAGTTGGTGATATCAAATCTTTAATTGATAATTACCTGTTTATTTTCAATTTTATTGCTTATCGCGCAATATCTTAATATATTCTCTGTGAATTTTTGGTTCCCCTAGTCGGCAAACCACTTCTTTAAGTCTCAACGTGCCTATAATATGAAGTGGATAAGTACGTGGTTATATATTTCGGTGGTAGACGGAAACTGTATTGTTGGTTCTCGACGGACTCTTTCTGATTTTCAAAGTGATATTAAGCTGAACATTATCAGCATAATTATTAAGAAAACATGGAGAAACACTTTCATTATGCCGTTTAATAATCTCGATATTCTTTACCATCTTAAAGCTAAAAAACTAAAATTAGGAAGTCAAATTCTTTTTAGCAACTTTTTATTATAATTATAACTTATTCTTGTTGAATTTCGTAAGGTCCTTCAAACATAGCTTTCACGTTAATTTGTATTTCACTTACAAAAATTTAATACGAGTTTGGATCTTTCCGACACGTCTTAACGTCCTAATAAATTAACACGTATTGTAAATTCTTTTCAAGCGCATGCTATTTATGATGCGTTTTTCCGTATTACGTAAATTTCCGTATTACGAATTACCTATCTAGCAAAAGCAGTTTTATAAAAAATCTTATCTTGTTCCTACATATGCAACAAATAATCTCTAATCTACGCTATTTAAACGATGATACACAGTTGTGCATATAAAAGGTGCAATTAATACTAATTACGGTTCAGGCGTCGTCCAGAATTGCATTATTTATTCGATGTTAGGAAACATTTACATTGTTCCCCGAAATGTTTTATCCGATGTACACATTTTAGAAGAGATTAGGAATTAAATCTACCTTGTCTTCTATACGAATCTAATGAACCGCGTTGAACGACTGACGTTCTAATTTCGGTAATTTTTATTAAATTTTCACAAGGAAAGAGTACGGTTCAAATATTTTGGAATTTTTATATAAAATAGTATTATGTTATAGTAGGTGGTAGTATATTAACTCTTACAAGTAACACTACCCAACTGTCACTCACCGATTCTAATGAAATTTGGCATGCACGTAGGACATTGAAAAATATTGAACATGTGTTTTTTTATATTGGCTGACAACGCATTTTAAGGGTGGAAACCACCTCTTGATCCCTGAACACGAAAGCACTATTTCAACTCTTTGTACATATTACATATGATTTCCGTCAAACTTGTTTTCCATTGAACTAGTCAGTAAGGAGTTTTTAGGGTCGCTGATTACGAATCTGGAGATAAAATTACAAAATTCAAGATGGCGGAGTCAACATGGCAGGCCGAAATTGTAAAAAGATGGCTGATTCAAACCAATTTTGGTATCTGGAGGTTTTGCGGCCTCTAATTACGAATCTGAAGTTGGAAGTCAAAATATAATTCGTTTATCTCATTTTATTATTATTATTATTATTATTGTAATGTGTTTTTGAACTTGTAAGTTGAACTTGTAAGATTTTTAAGAAGGTTTATTGTAAATTTTATTTTATTATTAGGATATTAATTATATCAATTTTCTGGACGTTAAGATTAACGTTTTGAACATTAATAGATTTTTGCTGTTCAAGCTTTTGTTTTAGAATTTAAATAAATAATATGAATGAAAATGAATAAATATATAAATAAATAGAATATAAATGAAATATAAGAAATAGAAGATCAAGATATCTATATCTATATCTTATCAAGATATGTTAGAATACCATTACATATTCCGCTCGGATACTGACGGATAATAATCTTTTGGAAAACCAACTTCCTAATCTGAAAAAAACTGACGCGACAGATCAATTTTGAATACCGATTCATTGTTAAATTCAGTAAATGTAATTGCCTGAGGCAATATCCTCCTTCACTAGTACAATTTCGATCTGTCATATCGCGTCATATCCAGCCATCTGTCATATTTCGCCATCTTGAATTTTGTAATTTTATCTCCAGATTCGCAATTAGAGGCCCCAAAAACCTCCAGATACCAGAGTTGGTTCGAATCAGCCATCTTTTTATAATTTCGGTCCGCCATATTGGGTCTGCTATCTTGAATTTTGTAATTTTATCTCCAGATTCGTAATCAGTGACCCTAAAAACTCCTTACTGACTAGTTCAATGAAAGACAAGTTTGACGGAAATCATATGTAATATGTACAAAGAGTTGAAATAGTGCTTTCGTATTCAGGGATCAAGAGGTGATTTCCACCCTTAAAATGCGTTGTCAATATAAAAAAACACGTGTTTAATATTTTTCAATGTTCTACGTGTATGCCAAATTTCATTGGAATGGGTGAGTGACAGTTGTGTACTGTTACTTGTTAGTGTAGAAAACAAATTTCATTAAAACTTTTTGATCGAATGTTTTTGCATAATTTATTTCAGAAAATATGTAGGGCATCAGAACAATTGACTTTATTAGTGATAATTAATGTTTATTTACATTTATAAATTGCTATATATGTTATTTTGTGTCTCTTGAATTATCTCCTCATATCTGCTGTATGGTTTGATAATTTTTATGATGTGTCTTAAATATTTAGGGCTATTGTTGTATATTGCGATTTTGGGATTAACGAGTGGTTGAGGTTCTAGAAGAAAGATTGTGCGTATGCATTTTTATTTTGATACCGCTACAATAACTGAAAGGTTACGTTACACTTTTCGAACGTACTATCCTCTAGTGATTTGAGGAGGAAAGTTACGGTGTGTCCTCAATATGGATAAAGGAGTGTTCTCGAGATTGTCTCTATGAAACTGAGCAGTTATATATAACAGTCCCTGAAGAGAAATATAAAAGATAAAAATAATTAATGAAATGAATATATAGAATGGAGCTTCTGATAATGAAATGAAATATTTTATATATAATTCCTTTTTGTTGTAATTAAAGGTAGCAATTTTTTAATTGATGCGGTAATTTCCGATAATTTCGATATTCTTCAGGACCTTAAAGCCAAAAAACTGATGTTGGGAAAAAACTATACTTTTTAATAACTTTTTATTATATTAATAAATTCTTCTCGTAGATATTCGCAAATTCCTTTACATACTGTACATACTTACAATTCTTGAGGGATGATTTGTATTTCATTTATAAAAATGTAATACAAATTTGAATTTTTTGGACACATTTTAGCGCCTCACGAATTGACATGCATCATACATTTTGTCAATGTACATGCTATTTATAATGTATTTTTGTAGCTTTTCGTATTACATCATCCTATTTATCAGCAAAAAAGGTTTTATAATATATGTTATCCGGATTCCACACATGTAACAAGTTATTATGTGTAATGTATGAGAAGTATTGGGTGAGTGCAAAAGTTCGTCATCAATGTCAGAAGGTCGACCAGAGCGTGGCTCGTCTTCAAGGTTAAATTCTCCGCGCCGAAATTTAGCAAACCATTTTTCCACAGTTCGTTTAGCTGGTGCTTCATCCTGATAAACATCCTGAACGTTTTTTACGGCTGCGGCAACGTTTATTCCCTTCCGAAACTCGTAAAGCATAACATGCCGTAAATGCACCTTATCGATACTCATTTTTAAAGTGATATTTCTCGAAGCAGTTTGTATGAAAACAAATGATTTTTTTTTAATAACAGCTGAAGACGTCACCTTTCCAACGTTATATAATATGTAGATGGAAGTATTAATGACAACACTTTACGACGCTTATAACTCCATCTATTGAAACTCCGCACGAACTTTTGCACTCACCCAATAGTTTAACATATAAAATGGTAGAACGACACTAATTTTAATCTATGTGCCGTGAAGAATTTCATTATTTATTTGATGTTAGAAAATACTTACATAGTCCCTCGAGATGCTTTGTTTAATATATACTTTTTAGAGAAGTTAGAAAATCGAATTTATGCCTGTACGTATATCTATTAAACCGTGTTGAACAGCTGACGTTCCTTATTTTAGAAATTCTTACTAAAAGTCTCACAGAAAAAGAATATGGTTTAATTGTTTTTAAGTTTTAATAAGAAAGAGAGTATTATGTCATAATAGGTAATAGTTTATTGACTTTTAGTATAACGATTATATGAATCGATTTTATTAAAACTAGTTGGTCGAGTGATTTGTGATGCAGTTCTAACATGTTATATTATATTACATATAACATGTTATAGTGCTTGTACTAGTTTTCATTACGCCATAAGCGTCAGTAAATTATTGTAGATTACAGATATTGAATAAAATACAAAAAACCTATTAAAAATGGAAAAAATAGATATAAAAACCTATTAAAAAAATAGAAAAGAATAGATAAAATAATAGATAAACAATCGATTCAGCAGAAATCTTTAAACCTATAGAAAAATTCTATTTAAAAAAGATATGAAATCAGTATAAATTGTTGAGTATTTGAGATTATTATATTAAAATCTTATTTTGAAAAATAACTGCTAAAATCATAATTTTGAAGTGTCTATTCTATTGTTGTGAATTTACTCA